ACATGCGTTCGCTTTCTGAATCGAGCAACACACTCTGATTACTGGACTGTCTAAAGACCAGCAAAATACAAGAGATCTCATCGACTTTAACATCTATGGAAGAGTAAGTACGTGATGCACAAACTAGTCTATCAGTAAAAAGTAGACTTTCAGTTGTTTATTTGACACAATGCTCGAAAAAGAGAGATAAGCGCGTTTTGAGCTTTCAGATCTCATTTTTTTTGTAAAAATAAAAATGTACCGTTAGCACAGCAGAAATGAATTAAACGGTCGAGCGAGTTCCTGGCAAAGATGATTATAATTAGACTAAATAAAAAAGTTGCTGAATAATTCCCATTCTTTTTGCAATGTTTTTACTTTTTATTGTCAACATCCAACGAACTCTGTTTTTTTGCGTAAGTTATCTGATATGAAGCATTCACTTATATTTTATTTGTATTTTTTCAATGTTTACTCCTTAATATTTGATGATGTTTATTTTGCACTTGAAAAATAGAAGAGAGTGGAGTATAGTAGTTTACCAAAACCAACCCATTAGAAAAGAAAAAATAGAATAGAGTTTTAGTAAATATTAGAAAACCAGCTTAGTCTGTCTTTTAAATCCGTTTACAAAAATATAGTTTGAGTAGTATAATGAAGATTTTTCTTTTTTTTATGTCCTGTACAAAAAAAGAGTGTTTTCTTGCGTTATAAATAGAAAAACAATTAGCTTATATCACTTAATTCAATTCTATAACGTTATCAAATTTTTAGTATTTAAAAGACGTATATTAGAACATCTATTCATAATTCTTGTATGTACGTCATTTTCTGAAAAGTTTTTGTTTCATTCAACATATGAAATACGTTTGAGAATCTTCTTATTTCTTTTTTTCAGAAAAACACTGTCTCTCCATTCATTCACAACGGAAAGCTCAAGATGTCCACAATAACAAAGCTTAATATCACACAAATTGAAGATGGAAGATCAAACTCCAAATCAACTAAAACACCATTGTCTCTGTCATCCGATTTAATCATTAATGCAACAAATTGTTTATCACCTACAACTGATTTGCATGGTCGTACTTATAAGGGTTCGTCTTATTTAGACTTTTTATCTGAAAATACAGTGCATATGTTGAAGTTAATGAATAATCTTCGTTATCAGTGCGACTTATAGTTGTAGTGATGAAAATAGCTGAAGTAAATTTTAACTGGAAGATCAGACAGTCAACTCTAGTAAGAAATCTTTGAGACACCTCACAGGATCCTACTAGAATCCTACTAAGATATCACTTAGAGTTCTGAAAGATCCTAACACTATCATATAGAATCTTAATGAAATTAGAGGTGATCGAAGGCTTACGATTACGATAGAAAACTAAATAAACCTAAGCAAAATCCTAAAATCTAAGATCCGGCTAGAAAGTTTTAAATGTTAGGATCCTAGTAGGAGATAGATTGGAAGTAGGATTGCTTTTTTTATACAATTTTATGAAACTTACTAATTATCATATTATTGTCATATTATACAGATCTGATTCCATACTCCAGTGATATGAATATTACAAAAACATTTCTACAAGCTATACTCAATATGATTTTGAAGTATATTGAAGAATTAAATGATCATGAATCACCGGTAAGTAAATTGATCCAGTCATGTAATGACATGTTGAACTTTTATGGAATACTTTTTTAGGTAATTAAAAATGGTCTTCGAACACCAAACGAATATCGTCAAATATTCAACTTTGATATTGATCAAAAAGGTGTTGATTTGAATGAAATATTGTACAATACGGAACAAATACTGCAGACATCAGTTCGATCAGGTCAAATATCTTTTTTCTTTTGTTTTAAGAATGTACACATAAAAACTAAAAGTTCTCTATCTCTAGGACATCCTCGATTTATAAATCAACTTAGTCAAGGTACAATTTTTTGTTCATTATTCTTTAATACAGTTGTCTTTCTAAGTACATCATCTTGAATGATATAATCTCAAATTCTCTAGTATAAAATGAATCAACAAGTTTAATTGCCATTTCTTTTGGTTAAAAAATTGATAAAAGTTCTTGTCTACATGTCAACTATTTTTCTTAGGCTTAGATATGTTATCATTAGCGGCAGAGATAATTACATCAACTACTAATTCAAACATGTTTACGTACGAGGTTGCACCAGTGTATAATTGGTAAGATACGAAAGAATTTCAAAAAATTCGGCTAATACTTTTTTGTTCAATACTTAAAAAAAAAACGAGAACTGGCTAATTAAGTTATTTTATTAATTTAGCATGGAAGAAACTGTTTTACGTTATATGCGCGAATTATGTGGTTGGAAAAATGGTGATGGTGTTTTAGCACCAGGTCAGAATTAAAAGTTTATATAATTTATTATTTATTCAGTTCATTTTTATTTTAAAACAGGTGGTGCCGTTTCAAACCTGTATGCTGTTTTAACTGCAAGACATTATGCTTATCCTGATATTAAACAACGTGGAGTAATGAATAGTCCTAGAACAGTGATGATAATTTCCAAACATGTGTGTATTAACTACTTTTACGGTTATTCTTCATATACACGGTTTCTATTTAGTGTCACTATTCTTTGAAACGAGCAGCAGCATTGATTGGTCTGGGTATTGATCATGTTATCGAAGTCAATCCGGATCAAACGTATAACAAGGAAAAAAGTTTTCTATCTTTATAAACTATTTTGTTTCGTTTGATAGGGGACGAGTAAGAGGTCAAGATATTGAAAATCAAATATGTATTGCTCAACAACAAGGATTAAAAGTATTTTTTGTTGGAATTACAGCTGGTACTACGGTCTTGGTAATCTTATTAAGTTATCTAGAAATTCATAATGATAAATAAAATAATAAACTTTTTTAAAGGGAGCTTTTGATCCAATTGATGAAATTGCACAAATTTGTCAAAAATATAATATATGGCTTCATGTTGATGGGGCTTGGGGAGGTAGTGCTCTTTTATCTTCAAAAACAAAACATTTACTAAATGGTTTAAATAAGTAAGTAATTATAAGTTATCATTGTTAATATCTGTAATAGAAGAGAAAAATATATTTCAGAGTAGACTCGTTTACGTGGAATCCTCATAAATTAATGTCCGTTCATTTACAATGTTCAGCAATACTTTTCAATCATCCCGTGAGTAATATTCCATTATTTTCATTCTAGTTAAGACTTATTTAAGCTTATAATAATTTAAAGAATATATTGATGAATGTCAATGAAATGTCGGCTGGTTATTTATTTCAACCAGATAAACATTATGAAATAACTCTTGATACCGGTGATAAAACCATACAATGTGGTCGACATGTTGATGTTCTTAAATTATGGTTAGCTTGGAAAGGAAAAGGGATTGATGGATATGCTGAACATGTTGAAACATTATTAGAAAATGCAAGATTTCTGTATGAAAAAGTTAAATCGAAAGCACCATATTTTTTAACATTAATGGATGTAAGTATAGTTGATCAATAGTGTATATTGTAAATTTTATTCAATTATTTTTAGCCACCATTTATTAATGTTTGCTTCTGGTATATTCCACCAAGTCTTCAAAATATCGATTCAACATCACTGGAGTACTACAATCGTTTAGACAAAGTTAGTGTTTCGTATTTATATAAAAATATAGTATTAGATAAAATATATATTTTGTTTTTTAGATTGCACCAAAAATTAAAGAGCGAATGATGACAAGTGGTGTAATGATGGTTGGATATCAACGTTTAGATCATTATCCAAATTTTTTTCGAGCAATTGTTTCGAATCCTGCAACAACTAAACATGATATTGAAATAATGATTGAACAAATACATATGTTTGGAAAAGATCTTTAATTTTTTCAAAATTTTTAATATTTTAATCTCAATTCCTCTTTCATACCAAATAATGTAAACTATCAATTGGTCCAAATATAATAATGTCTCCCTCAATCATAAATAATCTCATAATACCACTGTAATTTTCCATCCTTTGATTATCGACAATTGAACAACTAACTATTGTCCATCCAAATAAACAGTGATCTTGGTTGTTTTTTGAATAACTTTTGATACAAAAATGATAGAAATCTGCAGTTTTCAGTTTTGAAAACTAGACATTTGACGCTATATTTCCATAAGCAAAGTCGATATTTGAAAAGTTTTCTAAAGCCGGTTTTTCAGACGAGCTTTGAAAAACCAGTTTGGACCCCTGAAAACTGACATAGAAATAGGTCACTTTTTTTGATAGATATATAGTTCAAAGTGTCCTCTACAAAACTGCATCTAAGCGACATCTTGAAAATCCATGACGCGGGGGCTATGGACGTTTTTTCCGAAACCTTAGTACTCCTCTGCTGCTAGGTTTGTGATTTGAGAAGTGAATGAAAACATACGCTATCGACTAATGAGGGAAGGCCACCAACTGTCCCATTGCTTTTGAGACGAAACCTAGTGGGTGATAGGTAATCGATCATGCTAAATCCGAATATTACAATGGTTTTTCTCCAACGGTCTCTGGACACTCCGGTTTTTGGAAAACGAGTTCTTCAGAAACTCTAAAAATAACTAAAACCTTTCTGAATAAGGCCTGGTTTTAGCCCAGAAA